AATATTAGGAGGTGTAGGGTATAAAGTACAATACTTACTTGATACATCAGTACAGTCTATTCTGTTGTATTGTATTATATTAATATATGAATTAATGAGAGGAGGTGTCCCTATAAACTATACAGGGACTATTAATAACAATATATACGGTATGTATACCACTGACCTTACTCAATACAGTAACGTTATCAAACTCTACCAACAGGCTCCCTTTACTGTCCCAGAGAACTTTACAAGTTACTACACTGGCAGCCATTTTATCATAAACCACGCCTACTTACACTCAAACCACACCTCCAATTATAAAAAGTTTTACTCAAGACCAATAAAAAATTAATGTATGTGAATGGCACAGATCATAATGACATATCTCTAATAGTAATCATGTAATTAAACTTTAATATTACAAATCAGAAATCAAATTATGATAAAAAGGGTGCGTGCATATCTTTCTATCAAGATGATTTATTCTTTTTAGTTGTTGGTAGAGACAGTTCATCATCATTAGTCTGGGATTGATTAGCATTTCTTTTTAATCTCTTACGTCCTATACAACAGTACTTGATATAATTAAAGGTGCATAAACACAATGTGGAGATACATACATGTAATACTACATATATCTGATATGTCACTCACTGATGTGATCAGCTGTTGGTTTGCCGCTGTCACATTGTTCAAGAGCATTAACTAGTGTGGTCCAGGTTGCTCCTCCTTTAACATCTACACCATCAGCTCTCTGCAACCATTTAACTATACACTTTCTAAGGCAGTCTTCTATATCAGAGGAACTTGCAGATATAGTACTCAGTGTATTATCATATAGTCCCAGTTTGAGTCCTAGCTCCTTCCAATTGCTACTATAATAATGACCATCCTTCAAGTCTGTAAGGATATCATCTAAATCACATACATCAAGTGCCTGTGAGTGTCCTGAATCTATAAAATAAAACTATTAATTATGCACATGTACATGTAACACTCAGAGCAATATACATGAAATAGTGCTTGGGGCTGTGTGAATTTTTTCAATGACTTACATGCACTCACTGAGGTTATCATTGTAGGGCCACAGTCTACTATACCAAACCAGCACCAGTAGCTATCACCAGCTATATCAGCTGACCTCTTGCACAGTGTACAATTGATGGAATGGTCTTCCTCTACAACACAGTAACAAGTGCTTCTCTTAGGGCAAGAGAATGCTGTGACATGATTGTGTTCAACATTGATGGTATCAGCACTGTCACTGACAGCCTTCATGACTAATTTGCAAATATCAGGACACTTTGCTTTTGCTTCCTGAACTGATTCATCAAAATAAACTGCAATGTCTGAGTAGCGGTTGATTACGTGAAGTGTGTAACGTTTCCTTTTAATAAAAATCCAGAAAGAAAGTGCATCACGATACCTGTAGTACTGATCTGGATCCAAAGGAGGGAAGTCTACTTTGCCAGGGCATTCATTGTAACTGAGGAGGTGAGTAATGACTAATGGAAACATTCCCTGTGGAACTGGAAGAGTATTGATACCATCATTATCCAGCCAGACAATAAGGAGAGGCTTAATTTCTGTTTGAGGTTCAGGTGGTTCAGTGTACGACTCCAAAGCACAAGGAATAAAATAATCTCCATCTTCTCCACTGGCAATGATACGAAGATGAATAAGAAGCTTAAGTAAATGAGATGGCTCAAAATTAGGTGGAGAGAAAAGTGAAGTAAAGTGATTCATCAAAAGCTTCTCTTTAAAAAAACCAACATTATGAAGCTTGCTTATATATTTTTCAGAGGGCACAGGGTTGGCAATTAAGTGAAGAGCTTTCCTTTCAACGTAAGTGAGAGCTAGCAGACGTGATAGAACCTCAAGAATAGGCTTAGGATCAACAAAAACTAATTGTGGCAAGATATCAGGATAATACAGGATAATAGTGACATTGTGGAGATACTGTAAGGCATCCTTAGTATCATCCTTATTCATTTTAAACCTTTTACCAGCAGATATAACTTCATCTATTATGAGAAAACTGCGGCTTTTGTCTTCTGCTACTTTTTGTAGCCAAAGCTCAAATGCAAACCAACGAATTGGCACATTTATTTTAAGAGAAGTGCCTCCACAATTTGCTATTGATTGACATAAATCCTGTCCTGTTTTCATTCTTCCTTTATCTTCAGGGACTAGCGTATTAACAGGAAATATGATAGACTCTCCGCGTACATTGGGGACAACATAGTTCTCTACGTCAGGCTTCAATGAAGACATCAACTCTTTATTCATCCCCTTAAGTTTGTCTTCATTTATGAGATCATAATGTGTGCCAAGTACAAAATTCATTGGATGTGAAGGTGTTTCAAGGACATAAGGGACATGAATTGGTTTTAAAATGGCTCCAGAAGAAACTGCTGACAAAAAGAAATCTCGATTTGAATACTTTAAGTTCAAACCACAGGAAAATGTCTCCCCTCCAATCCTGTATTGGAAATCAAGCTTTTTATCAAGAGGTTGGGAGAGATCAAGTGTGATGATATTGAGAGAAGCTGTTCTAACAAACAATGGCAACAGCTCCTGGTATGCTGGCTGACCTCCAGAATCAATAATATACAACCAATGACCACTTAAATATAATTGACCTTCTGAGCTTTGGATTGTGTCCACAATTTCTTGAATCACACCTTTGCCAATTAAAAAACTTTCATTTGAAGTATCAATAGATTCTTCTGTTTCAGTAGCAGAATCATCTTCACTAGTAGATTCATCCTGTGATTCTGAAATTTGCTGTTCATCTGTTGTAATTGGAAAAGAATTTCCAAAGACACCTTCTTGATGCTGAGTAGCTGAAATTTCTTTCATAGGCTGAGAAGCAGCAGCTTCCTTTAAATCAGAAGCCAGTCTTTCAAGTAAACCATCTCTTTCAACTTTCTCCCATTTCATAGCTTCATTGTCGACAGATACTCTTGTAGCTTTGACAGCTGGACGAGCAATTGGTGTACTATCAGTGATGTGGGCGGTAGGTGGGTTATTCAACAAAAGATCTTGAGCACAGGTTTTACCAGCTCCAGGAGGTCCATGCATGTTAACACGAGTAACAGTTAGCTCAACAACACCTTCTTTTAGCCACTTTTCTATAATTCCTAAAAATATTGCTTTACGACATGTACAAAAGAAATGTAAGGGTGTGAGGTACATGTATACTAGAGTTTGGACCAAGAAAAACTGGAATAACTTTTTATATGAATGTGGGATAAGAATGAGACTTTCACAGGTTCTTAGTCACCCAATGCCGCTTCAGGATCTCAGGTCTTGGGTCTCTCAGCCCTTGGGAACCCTGAGAACCGAGTTCTCCCTATAAACCCAATGGCATACCAAAGCTAACCGCAATGACGTTCTATGATGTCATAGTTTACATAAGCACATGGGGTCGAGTGCCCAAACTGATAATTCTTCTTTTAAAATGCTAATAGAGCGAGATCTTCTGATAATGATGGCCTTTATGAAGACTAGTTGACTCCAGCAGCTATTGTACTGCTTATCAGGAAGAACAAAACTGTTTTAAGAGTGAAACAACACAGCCGAAATAGCGGCCATGTCTCTATGAATATCATTATAACACGTCATTAGTGACTTAGCTACATTTTTCAAATTCCAATGCAGCTGCTTCCACTTCCGGTCCATTCTCAGTTGGGACATAGTATATATACATGTATATAGACCATAAATGATTACTGTATATAAATGGAAAAGTTGTGCTGTTGAATTGATACACTGAATAATTACCCTTGCCACACATAGGCATATGGGCAAGGGTATATTTATCAATGGAATTAAATTGTATATTTTATGATGAACAGCAAACAAAAAAGTTAATTATTCCAGCTATTACAGTAATTGTATATGCTTAGACAAAATAATCTTAGACCTTTTCCCCATTCCCCTAAGTTGTAAAAAACAATAGTGTTGTGATGATTAACTGGCTGACTATTGAAATGTTATACATGTGTGCATGCACATACCTGGCTGCAAAGTTTGGTTCTCTAGTTCTCTGTCTCCTAATAACTGTTTGGCACCTACTCAAAAATACAAATGTGGATAAGGTCATTGGTAACACAAATACTTATGTAATATACACATGTACATGTAATACATGTTTTATATTAAAGTTACATGTACACAAGTATGTCAAACAAAGATTCATTTATGATCAAGCTCAATCACTTATACTTCTATACAATGGATACAATGGGACATGAAAGTGTCAGGTGTCCTTTATGTGGAGGTTACTTTATAGACCCTATAAGGTGCTAACTTCTAGAAGCAATTATAGATACCGTATATGAGACACTATTCGTAATTTTCCGTGTTCTATCCACATTCTTTAATGAAAAAAATTTGAATTCTCCTGCTGGACGGCAAAACCAATGAATAGGAAGCCAAAAGCAGCCTTTGTGGACAAGTCGCTTCAAGTGCAATGAAGATTTTTCTCAGGAGACATTCTGGGCTTTATTCTTCATTGTTACTGGCATTTATTGCCACTCAGGCAAGCTCTGGAAGCCATGAAGGCCTCTTGTTCCTTGTTTCCCCATGTAGCTACACTGTATCTTGCTGTCCAAATTATGAGTGTGGGTGCATACCGTAATGCAATAATTACTGGCAGAAATTAGCGCCCTATAGGGTCTATACAGTAAGAAATGTAATTGGTACACTAGGTGCTGTCCATTAGGAGGTGTGCACTATATAGAGAGTGTTTGTTAATAGAGGGTTTACTGTATTAATGGTATATTATGTGTGTGTATTAATATTAGTAACTCACCTCCACCAGTTAATAGTATTTTTTTTATTTGAGTGTGTCCTCCTTCATTAGCTATCTCTACTGCACTCTTTCCTCTCTCATCTTTACTGTTAGGATCAGCTCCTAACTGCAGTAGCATTGATACTTCAAAACTATCACCAGCTTTAACTGATTCATAGAGTGAAGTGACAAAATTGTCATTGTCTTCTCTTCTGATAGGAATTGTATCCTTGTCAACAGCAACTTCCAATATTCCTAATCTACTCATTGATTCTTTTTTGTTATTGATAGCATCAATAATAGACTGTGATAGTGAGGTTGGTATTGACAGTGTAATAACAAATGAACCATAATCAAAGCTAATGTGACTGAAGAGATCTGATGTTACTCCAAAGTAATGCTTGAGGACTGTCTTGAGTTTACTTATTGTCATTTCTTCCCATCTGTCATTCAGTTTAATTATGACTGGTTTTGTTTGATCACTAGTGGTTGGTGAGGCTGCTGCTGGTAATGATGACAATTTCTCTTTGATTGTTGATCGTATGTACTTCAATTGTGATGATTCTGAGAATTTATCAAGACTATCAATGTATTGAGTTAGTTCAGTTTGCAGTGCATTTGAAAGGTAAGTGTATGTCAAGTGTTTAAGTACACCACAACTGAAGAAATCATAATGAGGCTGAAGAGAATCAAATAGTTCATTAACATTGCCATATTTCAAACTGGATACTCGAATGTTTAAAAAAGCAGCTGCACTCCTAGCTACAGCTTTAATTGTCACTTTACCATTTTCCACCAGCTCCTCAAACTCATCTCTCAGTTTAGTATCAAGAGTTGCAAAGCGAGAATGAAGACTTCCAATATTGGTAGCAACTTCACTCTTTGAACTGAGCTCAATGACAGTAGTAGGAGTGGATGATTGTGATCCAGTGATTGTTGGTTGTGGTGTGTGAGATTGTGCAGTGACATCCACTGGTTGAAGTGGTCCCTTACTGACTGATGGTTGCTGCTCTAGATTAGGATCAACATGACCACCTTTCATTTCTATTAATTATAAGTAATCATATGAATATAAATATGTATATTAGTGACAGTAGTATACTACTATGATAATTGTTTTTCCCATTTTACATTGTTCAAAACATCAATAAATTATGAAGTACTATACATAATTTATTGGTGAAGTATTATGGTGGTTCAATGAAATAATCGCCAATATAAAGCTGCCATTTTGTTTCAAACTGAGCATGCTCAATGGCACATGGTACAAAATCACCAGTATGAATTTTGCCAATTAACTTTCCACAGGCAAATTTGCCACATATTACTCTCACCAATAAATCAGCTTGTATGGTACTGGCTAGTAACCACATAGCAGGTCATTTTCATGGCTATCATTTTGGGGTGCACCATCAAATAAAACACATTCAAGTGCCCAGGGGCGGATCTAGGATTTAATTTTTGGGGGGGCAATTGTGAGATGGGTGGGGTAATTAGGGGTGTGGTCAACTAAGCTTGTGCAAAACTTTTGGGAAAGTAATAATTATGAAGACTAAGCCTGCTAAAATGAGCCCCTTTGTGGTTTAAAGATAGTTTACATAGTCCAGTACTGCAGCTGCTTCACAGTTTACATAGGTAAACCTAAGTTTACATTACTCCAGAAAATTTTTGGGGGGCATTGCCCCCCTGGCCCCCCCATAGATCCGCCACTGCAAGTTAGTGATGGGCGATATGGCCAATTTTCTTAATTTTCGATAACGATTGATAATGGACTTTTTAAGGAAATATCGATTATTAACGATACGATAACCACACCTTCATTTAGGGGTGTGTAAAGGGTGTGGCTAATGATTTTAGCACAGATATAACTGTACTGAACATGAGAGAAGATCATTTCCTAATCATTTTCTTGCTCTTGAGCTTGGTTCTCTTTCTATTGAAGTAGGCTGAGCTAACAACTGCTCAGTTGCTTCTTTCTTGCAATTCAACAGTGCAATTACTTATTAAAATTAGTTATTTAACCTTAATAAATGGGCGCGGTCAATAGATCGATGAAAATTGCATAAAATTTTCGATAATGATTCAAATCGATTCCATAAAATATCGTTTATATCGATAAAGAATCGATATATCGCCCATCACTACTGCAAGTGCCATCAATTCACAATTTGCCTACTTAAAGCAAACTGGCTTACAAAAATAACAATAATCTCGATCTATCTAGTCTTGTGCCCTGCCTGCCCCTTCGCTTTAGAAGGAGTGGGCATGAGACTATTAGCTATCAATCTACACACACACACACACACACACACACACACACACACACACACACACACACACACACACACACACACACACAGAGTCAATACTAATACAATCAGTGATATTAACTTACTCTCTTGATCTAACTTGTCAGCTGCAGCATTCTCATTCATAGATTTAAGAGCATCTGACAGTGAGTCAAAGGTAGCTCCTCCTTTACTGTCAACATTATCAGCTCTGGACAACCACTGGCAGAGACACTCTGTCAAGCATCGAGATACATCACCAGGATGATTCCTTTCAATGGCACCCAGTGTGTTCTTGTGTAGTCCTAGTTTAAGTCCCAGGCGATACCATTTTGCCTGAGGAAAACCACATCTCTCCAGTAGGTCAACAACATCAATAAGCTCACCTAAAATCATATTCAATGATACATAAATAGCTAATGAACATTACCAATAGTCAATGGAGAAGAGAAGAGATTCAGAGAAGAAGAAAAGCCGAGAGAAAAGCTGGTTTTGGTAGCCATTGCACTGCTATAGGGCGTGGCAACAAAATTCAAAATATCTTTATACGGAAAATATACGGAGTATGAGCGCGGCTATGGATTAATAATAATTCCGATGCCGTCCATTGCAGAGCACTTATGGTGAAATGCTTGCTATTGCCTTTAGTATGTTACCATATCAGGTAGGTATATTTTCTTCTTGTCTCTTCATACTATATAAATAAAATTTAAGAAGCAATCTTTTAATGTATGATAAAATTAGAGCTGAAAATCCATTGTGTATAAATCACACAGTGGTCATTTGTACTTTTGTCTTTTGTAAATGGCCGTAACTTTAAAAATTGAGGTCGGAATTAGTTCAAACTTGCGACACAGCATAAGTACATCAATATGTATCAGACAACAAGAATTATTACTACCATTATTATGATAATAATTTTTGAAATAACTTGTTACATTCTTTCACAATATCAGCATGTACTAATGAAATCAGTTTCAATTGTAGTTTATTATAACTGGTAGTGGAGTACTCTTGAGCTCCTACTCTGAATGACCACTGACTGTAATCAACACCTACAGGACAATGAACAAATGAACATTACTATCACTAATGGACACACTATAATGGAGCAAAATTTTTGAGGGCTGTAAATTTCAAAAATTTTTTAAAGGTTTGTAAAAATTAATTTCACGTGAATTAATTTATTACAATACAAGAGAGTAGAGAGTGTAATTTTAGCAAAAATTAAATCTGCAAAATAGATTTTAAGGCAAATTCATAAAAATTACAGCCCTCACAAATTATTAAAATATTCTAAGTAGTGACCAGTGTGTGTGTGTGTGTGTCTGGAGGTGAGTATCAGTAATGTAATACCTGAGTCCCTTGATATCTGCCCTCAGCTTCACCTCAAGCAGATATCTCAGTCCTCAGGTATTACATTACTTATACACACACACCTCCAGACAGGCTGGACTACATGTACATGTACAGTTTCATTACCTTCATTATC